TATATATATATATATATGTTATCTTAGATTATATTATTGTCATTATAATTTTTTTCAAATATGGCAACTTGACCTAATCTAAAATAATCTTGATTTAGGATGTCAACTAAAGAAAAAACTTTATTTTTATGATAAAAAAGAGTGTAAAAAATTAATTTGAGCATTTTTTTTAAATTATCATGATTTATTTAAAAGTAAAAAAATAAAATTTTATTAAACACTTAGCAAATAGATTCTATGGAAGTGAGATATTTGTTTGCATGAAAATTAATATTATAATTATGTTAAATTTTCTTTTGATTATTCATAAAATAAAATAAAAATTATTTGATCAAGCACAAATCTCAATGCATAATAGAGTTGAATAACATCTTAGTGTTAAGTTTAGGACCTCCCAAGTTCTAATTTTAGAGAGTTTAAAGCTGAATTGTTGTTTCGACAGAGTAAACCTAACAGTAATTCGATCCGAACTCAAATGTGCATAGACCAAATATGACCATCAACCGTATACAATAACCAAATAATATTGAGTAGCCACCATCGCTTGACCACTACCACCGATCAGCATGGCTAGACTAAGGTGACAAATGAGATTGAGTCATGTCACATGCCACGAATATTTCAATCAATTAAGGACCAAATGAAACTTCAATAAATAATGTTACAGCAAGGTGGAGAAAAATATATATTTTTTGGCAGTAAAAGTCAATAAATTGTGTGGGAAATTTAAACTTTTACAAAAGTACCTATTGGACTTGTCCATCATGTCATAAAAGAATGTAATGAGCACGTGCTTAAAAACACAAAATGTTTGAAAAAAATATTTTTTCGTGAGATATTTAGGGTATGTTTGGGACAGTTGCAGCTTAATGAATAATCTGCTGATAAGCTAGATACGGTGGTTATTATAAATTTTATTTTTTTTGAAAAGTCATACCGCTACCAGAAAGTTGCCACTGCACCTAGATAGATGCAGTGTAGGTGCAGTGTGAAAATACTATTTTCAACGTTTTGAAAACGCATAAGCTGTCAGAACGCGGTTTACCCAAACAGGCTAGGTGCGTTTTCAAAACTTCACCACACCAAATAAGCTGCCCCAAATGGACCCTCATACATACATAGGAGTTTCTATATAAATGTTAGATCATTATAGCAAATGTAGAAACCTCTATAATTTTTTGAAATACTAAATTAACATGATGACATATTTTACAAAGTTATTATTGTTGAATTTCTTAGCCTATCAAATGAAAATATTTTGGAATGAGATAATCCCTTCGTCATTTTTGAATTTAGTCCCCAAAATTATTTAATATGGATTGAAATGGTCTTCGTGGAAGACTATTTTTATTCATTAAAAAAGTCTGGTTTTCAAAGGAATTTATTCTATCTTTTGTTCTCGTCTCCAATTTTAAATAAGATCTTTTTATCTTTATTTCTAACTTAACTTGGTAGGTCTCTATATCTATTTTCTCTTATGTTGCCATTTTATATATCCTTTTAAAATGATAATTAAAATAAAAAAATCATATATAAATATTAATCTTAGGAATATTTACATGTATTAGCTTAATTTATTATAAATAAGGGATTAAGTGCCCATGTTAACGTTTGATATGGAATATTAACTTCTAAAAATAGTTTAGGATTTAGGAAATATGTTACTTTTATATGAATGCTTATAATTTTTTTTTATATGTACGAGGAAGAAGAGAGTATAAGTGCATGATGAAAAAATATAAAGACAATGAAGAAGAAATAACATAGGTATCGCTTAATAAATAATACATATGAGAGAAAAAATAAAAGTACAAAATGAGTGAACACATATCGCTCTACTGCATGGTGTGTAGTAATCTGGTCATTGCAGGGTTGCTCTCGTAGGTGGTGTCGTGGCTTACTATGTAATTGCTCTATGTCATCTTCCTGCCTTGGTGTAGATGAAAGATGCATATTGTCCCCGTTCATGTATGAAATCTACACCATGCCTCAAAAACTGTTGAGCCTGTGAAAGTATCGTTGGATGTGGCATTCAGAATTGTTGTTGTGAAGGGGCACTACTTGGTGTTGCCCATGATGGACTTGCTCTAGTATATGTGGTTATAGTGTACTCGTTTGAAGAATAAGTCTAATGAACATGAAACGGTGAGACTGTGAATGTAGAACTAGAAGGCCTTAGAACATCATAGGTCAGCACTAGAACAGTAGCGTCCTCCTCATCCTGTCACCAATTTGTGACATGTCAGATAGATAGGATGATCACCTCATATGGCTACAAACATCCTCCATATTATCTATGACCTTTTGTTTTGGGCTCTCATTAACAAAGCCCCAAAAAGGCGATAAATGAACCTTTATCTCCGAGATGTAAAGTTCCATGATATTTTCCCAAAAAAATATGTCGTCAAGATTCAATACTAGCCAAAGTAAGTTGCTCCAACTCTTTATAAATGGCCCAAATGCCCAAAAAATTCATTGAAATAGAGGTGTGTTATCAAATTGGATCCTATAGATAGATCCTGACATCACAATGGAAATGGCTACTACTAACTTATGCAATGAATAATAAACTCCTCCCAACTATCAAAAATAGATTTGAGAACCTCTCACCTTACGTCCCATGCCTTCATATGGACGGTAAATTTAATCCAATAATAATCTCTTTGTCTTCAAGTCAATTTGACGTCTAATAATGGGGAGAATGTAGTAGCATATAAATTTAGATATGCACTGAAGGTGTCCACTAGTCAGAATTTTATTTGCACAAGAGTGATGAACAATGACATATGATATCTTCCATGCTCTCAAAAGCCTCTTGCTCCTAGCTGCATGCAAACACCATTGGCATGGTCGAGATAGATGGTCATGATGCATACACATCAAACTTAGCCAAGATTTATTGAAACACAAATTTCAAAATTTAATATTTTTTAGTATGCACCAACCATTTATTGTAAATTATAAGTCTGATTTACCAGCAATTGTCACGCCCTCATATTAAGCATTTGGAATATGCCTTCAGATGTTGTGTCGGCTACAAACATCCTCCATATTATCTATGACCTTTTGTTTTGGGCTCTCATTAACAAAGCCCCAAAAAGGCGATAAATGAACCTTTATCTCCGAGATGTAAAGTTCCATGATATTTTCCCAAAAAAATATGTCGTCAAGATTCAATACTAGCCAAAGTAAGTTGCTCCAACTCTTTATAAATGGCCCAAATGCCCAAAAAATTCATTGAAATAGAGGTGTGTTATCAAATTGGATCCTATAGATAGATCCTGACATCACAATGGAAATGGCTACTACTAACTTATGCAATGAATAATAAACTCCTCCCAACTATCAAAAATAGATTTGAGAACCTCTCACCTTACGTCCCATGCCTTCATATGGACGGTAAATTTAATCCAATAATAATCTCTTTGTCTTCAAGTCAATTTGACGTCTAATAATGGGGAGAATGTAGTAGCATATAAATTTAGATATGCACTGAAGGTGTCCACTAGTCAGAATTTTATTTGCACAAGAGTGATGAACAATGACATATGATATCTTCCATGCTCTCAAAAGCCTCTTGCTCCTAGCTGCATGCAAACACCATTGGCATGGTCGAGATAGATGGTCATGATGCATACACATCAAACTTAGCCAAGATTTATTGAAACACAAATTTCAAATTTTAATATTTTTTAGTATGCACCAACTATTTATTGTAAATTATAAGTCTGATTTACTAGCAATTGTCACGCCCTCATATTATGCATTTGGAATATGCCTTCAGATGTTGTGTTTATTGGACATGCTAGAGCATCATATTGACATTCTCATCCCACTCTGTTGCACGACATGCACGAATGTAATCATTGTGGGATATCCTAACATCAAGAAATGATGCATTATATGTGGGATGCTCTCTAATCAACATATGACCCGAAATCTCATATACATCTATTTCTATTGGTGCATGTGTTTCTGTTTTTGGAGCCACCATCGAAATCATCCCTTGTGTCACTATCCATAAGTCTCATATCATTCCCTCTCCTATGTAATTTAAGTACCGTCTTCTACTATGTCATCAATGTTTAGATTCTAAAAAGGCTATTTGTAGGCATAAATCACATCCAACTAACACTCGCTTGGTAGTTAAAGGAATAAATAAAAATACATTAAATAACAAGTATATACCCGTGTTGACCTTGATGTGATGCAATCGGTTTAATGGTACCGATTTTCTCGCTTCTATTTTTTTTTTTCTTATCAAAAGTCATATTTATATGCATACCATTAAATTTTTTAACATCACATCAAAATATTACTATCACAATTATGATACTTTTAAGAGTATTTAAATTAGATTTAACATAAATTCAACCAAACATAAAAAATAGTTTAGATAAATCCTTTGTTAATTTAAATCCATTTTTTTCTTCCATTTATTAAATATGAATTTACTAAATTCACTTATTAGCTGGATTTGACAGATTTCGGACAATAAAAAGATATTTTAAATAGATTTATGTGAAAAACATCAAAAATATATTTAAGTGGATTAAACTTTTATCATACCAACCATTTTTTCGAATTTAATAATATTTAAATTTTATAAAATCTAGATTCATTGAATTTAATAAATTATATTTAAGTTAAATGCTATTCCACCTAAACACCCCCTAAGTGTGAAGATACTCAAATAAATAGGAATTAGAGACATGAACGAAAACACCCCCCATAAAATATCCAATTTTTAAAATGCCCATCACTCAACCTATACGCCCCCTCCTCCCCCTCCCTCCCGGCCCCCTCAACTTCCCCATCGTCGGCGCACTCCCCTTCATCGGCCCCATGCCCCACTCCGGCCTCGCCCTCCTCTCTCGCCGCTACGGCCCCATCATGTTCCTCAAAATGGGCATCCGCCAAGTGGTCGTCGCCTCCTCCTCCGCCGCCGCACGCTCCTTTCTCAAAACTCACGACTCCCGCTTCTCCGACCGTCCTCTCGACATCATCTCCAAGCAAGTCAGCTACAACGGCCAGAACATGGTCTTCGCCGACTACGGTCCTAAGTGGAAGCTCCTCCGCAAAGTCTCCAACCTCCATCTCTTCGGCCCCAAGGCCATGTCCCGTTGGGCCAACGTGCGGCGGGACGAAGCTTTCTCCATGTCCCACTTCCTGAAGAAACAGAGCGATTCCAAAAACCCTGTTTTCCTTTCCAACTTGCTGGTTTGTTCAATGGCGAATGTGATTGGGAGGATTGCGATGAGCAAGAGGGTGTTCGATGAGGAGGGGAAGGAGGCGAAGGAGTTTAAGGAGATAATTAAGGAGCTTTTGGTCGGGCAGGGGGCTTCGAATATTGGGGATTTGGTGCCGGCAATGAGGTGGCTGGATCCGCAGGGGGCGAGGAAGAAGCTGCTGGGATTGAATCAGAGGTTTGTTAGGATGATAAGTAAGTTCTTGGCGGAGCACGGTGAGAGTAGAGGGGAGCGGGAGGGGAACCCTGATCTGCTTGATCTTATTGTGGCTGATAAGATCGCCGGCGACGACGGGGAAGGGCTTTCTGAGGAGAACATCAAGGGCTTCATATCTGTAAGCAAAACTGCGATTTTGGTTTTTATTTTGATATTGTTAAATGATTAACATTTTAAAACCGATTTTTTTTTTTTTTAAATGAATTGAATGATTGAAATTCAACTTCAAAATTTGAACTTTTGGGTTAATCCTAACTTATTAATGAGTGTTAATTTGTTTTCAAAAGTAAAAAAAAAAAACAGCTGAAATGGATTCTAGATTAATTCAAGCCATCATATTAATATTAGTAAGACTCTTAACAATTCAATTTCGAGCTGATCTACTCGAAATCAGGTAAAAAAGATTAAGTTAAAATTTTAATACGCAGCTCGACTCATTTATTTCAATTCCAATCAAAATTAAAATCAATTTTCGAGCCACAACCATTCGTCAAACTAAATTTACAGCCCACTTGTGGCATGCAGGATCTATTCGTGGCGGGCACAGACACATCCGCTATAGTCATCGAGTGGGCGATGGCTGAGATGCTAAAAAATCCGGCGATCCTCCGCCGAGCACAGGAAGAAACCGACCGCATCGTTGGCCGCGATCGCCTTCTGGAAGAATCCGACATACCAAATCTCCCTTACCTCCAAGCCATATGCAAGGAAGCTCTGCGCAAGCATCCCCCAACTCCTCTCAGCATACCTCACTACGCTGGCGAGCCCTGCGAGGTAGAAGGTTACCACATTCCCGGCAAGACCTGGCTTTTGGTCAACATATGGGCCATCGGGCGAGACCCGGAGGTGTGGGAGAAGCCATTGGAGTTCGATCCGGAGAGGTTTATGGAAGGGAAGATGGCGAGGATTGATCCGATGGGGAACGATTTTGAGCTGATACCGTTCGGCGCCGGGAGGAGGATTTGCGCGGGGAAGTTGATGGGGATGGTTATGGTGCAGTACTTTTTGGGAGTGTTGGTGCAGGGTTTTGACTGGAGTTTGCCTGAAGGGGTGGTGGAGCTGGACATGGAGGAGGGGCCGGGATTGGTGTTGCCGAAGGCGGTGCCGCTGTTGGTGACGGCGAGGCCGCGGCTGCCGGCGGCTTGTTTGATAAAGGAGAGTTTTTTCTAGTTTATGTACTGCGTGTTAAGAGTTTTGAATAATGAATAATTAATCTATTTCGATGTAAAAAAAATTTAAATAATAAAAGTGGATTGTTGCAATTCATTTAAGCAAATGTTTTTATTTTATTTTATTTTATTTTATTTTTAAATTATGTAACCATAAGGCCGTAAGGTTAGAATGATGTTTTATTGAATAGCCTTTGCTCGACTTTGGGTGCGTTTAGTGCGGCACTATTTTAGCGGTGTTTTATCGTATGCAGTTTTTTCTATTTGAAAAAAACTATATTCTCAAACTAATGCACTTAAAAGTTTCATTTTTCAGTCAGATTTTACTACTTGCTGTTGCTGCTAGAAAGTTACGGTTTGATTTTCTATAAAAAAAAATTATAATAGTCATCATAGTTTTTCAACAAGCATGAACATCTTTCCTGCTGCTTGTTCAAACTGCTACAACTGCGCCAAAAATACTTAGTTGTCGAAAAAGATAAATATAAAAAATTTAAAGAAAATGATTTTTGATTAAAAATATAAGAAAATGTAATTCTATTTTAGGGAATTTACATTGGTGGCAGCCAATTCTTACGTATTTACGTATGTCACAACAAAACCTTCACTTTTACGGCCAAAACACTTAAAATTCTTTTCTAACACATCAGAATCAGCATTCATACAATATTTAATGCTTCAATCCAGCTTTTCATACATAAATAAGGATGCCTTGACTGAAAGTACGAATGTTTAGACGTGATATACAAAAATGCTTAAGAATTGGGTGGTAGGCATGCAAATTTCCGTTTTATTTTTAAATGAAAATAAGTTTCTATCATTTTTTCTTATATATATATTTTTTTAAAATTTTTCGTAATTCAATTTTGATATAATTTATATCAATTTTTTCCTTTAATGAAAGCGATCGGTCTTGCACGAAGAACATGAACCCAATTGATAATATATATGATTCGAACCCATGAGTTCGCGGCGATATATCACTCACAATGAGCAAAATTTGATAGACTATAAGTGAATTATTGTATTTAAGAAGATTTACATACATAACACTCAAATCTTATGTGTTTATGTGCATATATATAAATATAATACCTAAATTTTAACTTTTTACATATATGACACCTTATTTATATATGAAAAAGGGTACTTCACTTTTTAAAAATAAAGTAATGATATTTTGATGTGGTGTGAAAATTTTAGGTGGTATAAATGCAAAAGTAAAATTTAGGTGTTAGATATGTAAATACGTTACATTTGGATAATTGAGTAGGTTTGTAACTGCCCCTGTGGACTGTTCCGTATTTATCCTTATACTAATTTTTTTAGTTAATTGAGTAGGTTTGAATAAAATTTTAGATGCTTATCATATCTTATCATGTAAATAAATAAGATTGAAAACTTGCTTGCCCACTTTTTTTTTCCTTTTCGACAAAATATTACATCATCAGGACTCCTAAAGTAGAGCTGCGTTCAGAGTCCACTAATATGCGGACCCATGACTTCAAGAAAACACACGCACTTTCTTGTGATCCGGCCTGGTAAAACAGAAGAATATTCATTATGTGTTATTTATCGTTATTCAGGTGTTATTGCGGTGATATTGATGTGTTATTGTATTATTATAACACCGAGAATATTCTCAGAACACAATAACACATAAATACCACCACAATAACACTTGAATAATGCGGAATAACACCGAGAGAATATTTCACTGCGCAAAAATGATTTTTTTTTATAAAATTTTCAGTCATCTCCACGTAGCGTCATTTCATTGGACTCCGAAAGTAGGTCTAAATTAGGAGGAAAGTAGGTCTAAATTAGGAGTCCTGACGTGATATTTTTTACTTTCCATATGCTAGTTTTCTATCTTACAAATTTATCATTAAGAACCAGATAAGAAATTCGTTTAATATAATGTAATTATTTATACCATGATTTATTTTTATATTTGCAAGTTCAATCTGTAAAGAGTACTAACAAATAAAATTGAATAAGATTTTAATATAAATACGCAAATAAAATTTTCTAGAGTTCTATAAAAATAAATAAATAAATATAAATTGAATCGTTCTTGATTAAATTCAAATCATTTATTGCACGCAAGATTTCAATGTAATTTTTCTTGTCAGACAATTGTGAGCAGAAAGAAAGTATTGCATCCGACGATCGCACGTGCCTACGACCGTGCCTACGACCGTGCCTACGACCAACGGCTCGGCGACACCTCAACATATATGCTAAGGTGGCCATGCCGAGCTAGTGCTCGGCGGTTGGTCATCCAGATGTGCGGAAGACTCATATTTTCTCATGAGTAAGAAAAGTGGATTGAGTAATGCTTTATTTCTAAGAAAATATTCCTAAAAGTTGGGTATTTATTGATGTTTTTGCTCTGAATTTAAGTAGATAGCCCCAAATTTCGGTGAAAATCTGGTGCTAATTAACTTTTGGACAAATTTTAATAAAAAAATTGTAATTGATTTTTTTTTCTTATGAAATAAATGTTTTTGGAAGTAGGGCTGTCAAAACGGCTCGTTGTTCGCGAACAGGTCGTGCTCGGCTCGTTAAAAAGCTCGTGTTCGGCTCGTTAATTTCATTCAATAAGTTAACGAGCCGAACACGAACTAAGATGTGTTCG